TGGATTTAAATCTTTATCAATATTTGGTAGACTACTTAGAAATAAGCAAATTATCTTCACATTATACAGAAACAGAAAAGAAGAAATTTTTATCTCGTACTAGATATTTTTGTACAAGGAATGGACTATTATATAAGAAAACTAGAAAAGACCCAACCAAACTTTTACGTATAATCAAGTGGAATGAAGTTGAACCGATATTATTTATGATGCATAATTATTCTCGTACTAGATATTTTTGTACAAGGAATGGACTATTATATAAGAAAACTAGAAAAGACCCAACCAAACTTTTACGTATAATCAAGTGGAATGAAGTTGAACCGATATTATTTATGATGCATAATTATCCTACTGCTGGACATTTAGGTATTGATGCAGTATTTGGAAAAGTAATAAAACGATATTATTGGGATGATATGTATGAAGATATTAGAAACTATATTCAAATCTGTGATACTTGTCAACGTTGAGAAAAGAATCAGAAAACAGATCAATTATATCCTATTCAAGTAGGAAAAGCTTTTGAACAAATTGGAATTAATCTGGTTGGACCTCTACCTATTATGTCACAAAACTATCAGTATATTATTGTTGCTACTAAGTATTTAACTAAGTGGCCTGAAGCTAGAGCTGTACCTGATGCTAGTATATTTGTACTCACAAAATTCATTTTTGAAGAAATCATTTGTCGACATGGAATACCCAAGATTATATTATCCGATCAAGGATCCAACTTTAGAGATAACTTGATCAAAATCTTGTGTGAACAGTTTTTAATTAAGCATAACTTTTCATTACCATATTATCTACAAACTAATAGACTTGTAGAGTGATTTAATAGAACACTTTGTGAATCTCTTGCTAAAGTTAAAGATTCTGATGATTGGGATACTCATTTGAATGCAGTTCTTTTGGCCTACCGTACGAAAAAGTATGATACTACTGGATATACTCCTTTTCAATTACTATATGGAAGGCAGGCTACTCTTCTAATCGAAACTATTCTGCCTATACAAAAAACAGAAACTGATGAAATTGATCTACAAGAAAGTATATTACAACGAGCCTATGAACTTATTGACAAACTATCTACTGCTTACGAACAAGCTCAACAAAATATTGCCAAATCACAACAAAAACAAATTGCTTGGCATAACAAGAAGTTCAAGTATCATGACTTCAAAATGGAAGATTTGGTTCTTGTTGCACACTCTGATATCGCTGCATCAAGATCAGTAAAGTTTGAAGAAAAATTTAAAAGTTCTTATTATATACATCAGAGACTAGGAAACGGTGCTTATAAACTACAAACTAAAGAATGTGGCCAAGTTCTCAAGCCATACTTTAATAGTCAACAACTTAAACTGTACTATGATCGAACTTTATTTGAATTTATAATTATTATAAATTAGAAACAGAATATTAAATTATTAATTTAATAATTTATTCATTAAATTTTATTTATTATTTATTTATTTATTCATTATTTATTACATTATTATTACAACTTATTATTATTATTATTATTATTATTATTATTATGATTATTATTATTATTATTATTAGTACTATCATTACTATTATTAATATTATTATTATTATTCTACGAACTATTCTAGATTTAAAATTTATTACTTTATTACTATTTACAAAATGTTACAAAA